CAAACGAACTCTTTTCAACGTTTCTGGAACGTTTACAATCGTTCTATAATCGAACCAATATTCAAATTTTATGTTCGAATTTAATTCAAATATTGTTCGAATTTGTTCGAATTTAAATCGAACAATATTCGATCATAACATTCGAAATAGAAAACCACTTTCAACCACTTTCAGCCCCATATCTCCCGCACCCTTATCCTCTTGAGATCCACTACTTAAAAAAACTATTTTTTTATTGAAGTTTTGTTTTGCTTTTGACCTTTAGGTGTACTTATTAGTAAATTGTCATCTTTCTAAAATTTTTTTTTCTGGTCATTAAAAAATGGTACGTGTCATATATGACACAATGGTTCTCTACCTATACAAAATGCAAACCAGTTCATGTAAAAATGGTTTATTTGACTGTTTTTGTACATTATTTGACATTTTATATTTACACTAGCTGCAAGGACCGCTTCGCTAGATTTTTATTTGTGGGAAAAAGTAACGATAGTGAAGATTAAGATAATTACATTATAGCCAATCTTACACGTTTTCACAAAATGCAAGAATTAGGTCCCCCGTTTCCAGACGTTTCCAGAGAATTTTTACATGAGCATAAAAATATGTTCGATTTCCCGCAAAAGCGCAAAAAACCGCCTGTAAATCTTGCATGCCGCTTTATATTAACACTTCCTGGTCCCGATTTTATTTCTGAACGTCTCCTGTTCACGTCCAGTCAAACGAACTATTTTCAACGTTTCTGGAACGTTTACGATCGTTCTATAATCGAACCAATATTCGAATTTTATGTTAGAATTTGTTCGAATTTGTTGAAGTGGTTGAAAGTGGCTTTCTATTTTGAATGTTTTGTTCGAACAAATTAGAACAAATTCGAACAAAACATTTGGAATAGAAAGCCACTTTCAACCGCTTTCAAGCCCACATCTCCCGCACCCTTATAGCTATCGAGACGCGACCCCCCTGGTGCACGAATGGAGACTTGGGGCTACTACCACATACAAACACCATTCATGTGCGATGTGTATCTTTGGCGGAAAAGTGAAATATAGGGACACACACGTGCATTTTTATATGTATATATATATAGATATCAAGCTGCACAAGTTGTAATACACAAAATGAAACTTAAATATCATCCATCTCACCATCTGAAAGAAAATTTAAAAAAAAAACCGTATGTTGATACCTTTATCGAACTCATTGTAATTCTGATCGTTCCGTTAAACGAAAAACCTGTTCAGTGGAAACAGTTCATGATTTAAATATGCAATATAATTATAATTACATACATAGAGTTATATGTTATTTATAAATATACGAATAAATAAACAAATCAGTTATTACTGTATAACAATTTGATAAAATTGTAATGTTTAAAAATCTATTAAACTTTTATTGAAGTGTACTTAAAAATAAGTCATGATATTTTATTAAATTACATACAATAAAATTTCGTGCTTTCTTTCTAATTAATATCATACAGAATTTGATCTTTCATTTTCTTCTTAACCAGAATTGCTTAATAGTGTTATGTTAATTATTACTTCTACTAAAATTCTTATTAAAAGAACTATTAATATTGTGAGAAGCCGGGGGAAAAGGAGGTTTTCTTCTTGTCACTTAATCGGCGCGGTTTGGCAAAATCCACTCACTTTGTCAGGGAATGGCTCGGAGGGCTAAAATCGAGTGGAGAGTGCGATGAGTAAGTTGATAAGATGTCCCGCATTCGTTAAATCGAATAACAGCAGGTTAACAGGTAAACAAAAAGTAATATAAATAAAACTAGAATACATAAGAACACAAAATATTCGACTACGTACGAAAGATAGGGGAGATCGGGGCAAGATCGGCATGTTAAGCTTTACTTAAATTTTGTGTAATAAATACTGCTGTAAACTGAAAAAAAAGCTTTGCATATCCGGGAAACAGTTCACTTTTATCCCGGGATCCCGGGACAAGCAAAAGACCGGGAAATGAGAAACCCTACGTCCAATCAAACGAACTCTTTTCAACGTTTCTGGAACGTTTACAATCGTTCTATAATCGAACCAATATTCAAATTTTATGTTCGAATTTAATTCAAATATTGTTCGAATTTGTTCGAATTTAAATCGAACAATATTCGATCATAACATTCGAAATAGAAAACCACTTTCAACCACTTTCAGCCCCATATCTCCCGCACCCTTATCCTCTTGAGATCCACTACTTAAAAAAACTATTTTTTTATTGAAGTTTTGTTTTGCTTTTGACCTTTAGGTGTACTTATTAGTAAATTGTCATCTTTCTAAAATTTTTTTTTCTGGTCATTAAAAAATGGTACGTGTCATATATGACACAATGGTTCTCTACCTATACAAAATGCAAACCAGTTCATGTAAAAATGGTTTATTTGACTGTTTTTGTACATTATTTGACATTTTATATTTACACTAGCTGCAAGGACCGCTTCGCTAGATTTTTATTTGTGGGAAAAAGTAACGATAGTGAAGATTAAGATAATTACATTATAGCCAATCTTACACGTTTTCACAAAATGCAAGAATTAGGTTCCCCGTTTCCAGACGTTTCCAGAGAATTTTTACATGAGCATAAAAATATGTTCGATTTCCCGCAAAAGCGCAAAAAACCGCCTGTAAATCTTGCATGCCGCTTTATATTAACACTTCCTGGTCCCGATTTTATTTCTGAACGTCTCCTGTTCACGTCCAGTCAAACGAACTATTTTCAACGTTTCTGGAACGTTTACGATCGTTCTATAATCGAACCAATATTCGAATTTTATGTTAGAATTTGTTCGAATTTGTTGAAGTGGTTGAAAGTGGCTTTCTATTTTGAATGTTTTGTTCGAACAAATTAGAACAAATTCGAACAAAACATTTGGAATAGAAAGCCACTTTCAACCGCTTTCAAGCCCACATCTCCCGCACCCTTATAGCTATCGAGACGCGACC